GCCTTACCTGGGGTTCTGGAGGCCTCCCGGGGCTGCAGCCGTGGCAGGAAGCCCGGCTGGCAGCTGGAGCGTGGCTCTGACCGGCCAGGCTCCAGTTTTGGGCGGCGCACGCTGCCACCACGTGCACTGCCCTGCTTTTTTTTTTTTTTCTTCCCCATCATGGATTTGTTTGATTTCAGATCAACCCCTCTTACGCCCTCCCCCACAAGGTAGCAGTGCGGGGAACATCCGCATGTGCGGTGTGTGGCACGGCAAACAGGTCTACGGTGCCACGTACTGCACGTCTTCACTGATTTGGACACGACCTTAGGAATTAAATTCTCAGTCGAAGAGGGCTCATAATTCAAGGTGATATGATGCAGCAGCTCTCGACTCCCACTTGTACTGTGGGGCAGCTCTTGGAATTGAACAGCTAGTTCTGTTGGAAGTGTGTTTTTACAGGGCTTTATACCTAGGCTGTAAAAACGTACTCTGGATAAAAGTCGGTGTAGTCTCGTAGTGCAGAAATAGTTTTAAAAGAAGCTCTCAAATGAGTTTAGTTTGAATCTAGTGAATTGTTCAATAGCTGAGAAGATGTTTAACTCTTTTGGCTGAGTAATTTGTGCACTCCTCCACCACCCCCTCTCCCAAAAGGCTTGAAGCTTGTATTCCTATAAGAGAGAGGCTTTAAAACTTACTGCTCACATCATTAGAACCTACCCTTATAATTAATGTGTGTGTTTACCAAGGTGTTTGTGACTGGTGGCAAATAATTATGATATTTTGTCTTGGCCCACGTTTTAGAATAGGGCTGCATCTTATGAGGAAATCATCTTTTTATAGAAGAAAAGACTAGTTATGCAGATGCTAAACGATTTACCAGTGTTGCACAGGACTATGGCAATATTGGGAGTAGATCCCAAGTCTATTGATTGCCTTTGGCCCTTTGAGCCCAAGCTAATTCTGTCCCCTTGCCTTGATGTGATACTGTCGGGGCCAAGGGGCTGTGGCCAGCAGCCCGGGCACGTGGGCCGGGGAAGTCGGCATGGCGGACTAGAATTAGGCACTGACGCGTGGAGGTTGATTAAAGATTGTTTTAGTTACACTGTAGATGGTCGCGGTGCAGGCAGGAAAACTGGCTTGGTTACAGTTGTAGATAGAAGAAAAGAAGAAAACTCGAACGACGAGAGCTCTCTGAACCGATACGAGAGTCCGAGCTGTGACTCTCAACGAGCGCGCAGGGTAGGGATACGTCAGGGATCGTTCGGTGACGGGGAGAGACTCTTGATGGCTGATCAAACCACCATTCGGTCTGAGATTTACATAGAAATCCACGAGGTAATCGTGGACTCCTTGCCGGAATTCTCTCGGATTTCTCCCAGAATTCTCGGAATCGGGGTTCTCAGGATCCTCCTGAGATTCTCGGAGATCTCCCACTTGGGCGGAAACTGCTCAAGCCTCTTATACGGCTAGCAAGACAATCGTTAGCCGCCTCGTGGGGATAATTTAGAAACAACCAATAATGGGGAACAAATTTGCATGCGAGTGGCGGGAACTCCTTTGCACCGGGGTTTTCTCTCTGCAGCTGAGAATTGCACCGTGCAAAGAAAGCTCTAGATGGCGGGAAGTAATTCTGCAGTGCCGAAGCGCACTCACAGATACTCATTAGGTTATGACAGATACGATCTCTTTTCTTTAAAATTGTCTCAAAATACTGAATGAGACAGAAGTGAACTTTTTGTGATGTTCTGCAAAAAACCTCAGAGCGAAGAAGGACTGTTACATCTCTCTCTGTTTAATTTACCCTTACAAATTGATCCATTTTTCTTGCCAAAAAAACTGATATGTGTTTTTCAGCTTCCCCTCAAATTGGTTGAGCTGTCACAGGAAGGGTAATTTTTAGTAATAAGTAGGGACTGTACAGTCACAAGTCATCGACATCTGTGGAGAGATTTTTTTTCCAAGTTTTGTCTTCTTGAAATCTATGGGACTCCTGCAGAAGGGGTCTCTAATAGTCCTTGGTCATACTTGACCTGTCCAGTGCAGGAACCATGGAGGGTCGCAGGCCTGATTTATGCCGTAGTGACAGGTAATAGAAGTAAATCAGCATCTGCAAAAGTGTGGGTAAAATCTGCAGATGTTTTTGCTGTGGAGGAACAGGCTGACAACAGTGCATGTCATGTCCTAACATTGGAAAGCCTTAAATCAGAATTTGTAGAGACATTTCCACCTAGCACGGGCACTCCTCTGGTTTCCAAGGGCATTGATAGGGAATATATTACTCTTAAGTTAGTAAGAAACTCAGACTGACATGGTGTTGAGAGTACCGCAGCCTTTTTTTTAAATGAGAAAACACTGGGGATATACAAGGAAAGCATGATATGAATTTGAAAAAGCTGACACTCTTTTTGTTTTCCTAAAAGGAAAGACACTTCTTTCTCTTTCCAGAAATCCTTCAGTATTATTCATTCTTCTCCTCCTCTGGTTTTGAAAATTAAATCTCACTAACTGCTCCACTTTTCTTACCGGCTGTGTAAGCATTTGCCTCTGACTATGAGGAGGACTTTAAGAATTGGCAAGAGAATTGAGGAACGCAGTTTAGTAACAAAACCTCGTTATGATAATTGGCTGTTTCCTGCCCTTTGTCCTGAAATTAACAGAGATGGAGAAATAAGCATTACGACTCAGGTTTGAAAGCTAACAAACCCCTTTTCCACCTGGGGAAAATTGAGTATCATGGCAATTGCAAAATAAACTCCCTTGTGCAAGGGAGGGGAGGGGAGGGGGAACATGAGAGGAAAATATTCTGAAACAGGTACTCCATTCAGAGTGATTTTTATTCCAGAACAAAGGATCCCCATGGGGAGCTATTCTAGAAGGCCTGTGAAGATCACTTTTTTCAATGTAGACCAGGCCTGAGGGACTCGGAGGCCCAATTCCCAATGCAGGTCTCTGCCAAAAGCATCAGATTTTACGTGACTTTGCTTTTATTTACAGCCGATCAAACTGTTGGAAAAAACTTACAAATATTTTTGTCCTGCATATTAATCCATGCACTAAAACTGCCCTTTTTTGCAGGTGGATTTATCTAAACGATCAGAACTTATGCATCCCCACCAGTTCTTCCTTTGTATATGGAGCTGTACCAATTGGGGCCAGTATTTATGTGATTGGAGATCTTGATACAGGTTAGAGACAACGCTAATAAGTTCATATTGATTGTTTTCTTTTAAAGTACTTTTCAAACTGGTTTGAAGTTTTAGTGTTAAAAAAGAGCCTTCAGTCTAGTTAAGATTCTGAATCTCTTTCTGTTCGTGGTTGCCCTCGAGTTCAAGGGAACAATGTTAAATTTACAGGAAACGTAAGCAGAACTGGTTTTTAACTTTTGTGCGTGAAACATCCCTTTGATTTTAAAATGCTAAAGAAAGCTTGTATACTTGTTAGCCATTTGTTTGGCTGTCATAACAAAGGTTAGGGGGATAGACTGAGGTTAATAACATGCTCTTGGATTTTTTTGCAAACAGTCCGAAAGCAGCCTTTTCCAAATTGTTGATACCAATTTCTGGCATGTGACCAGTCTGGAAGTAGTCTGACTAACAGTAATCCCTGGTAAGTGTGTGTGGGGGAGAGGTTTGCAACAGTGTCACTGCTGCTCTGCAGTACTAACTTGGGGAGGAAACAGTCCGTTGTCCTTGACACAGAATAAGTTAGGTAGGAAACTTGTTAGATACACTTTTCAATTTTTGTGGTGTCACTTTTCTAACTGAGTTTTCCTCATGGAAAAATGTTGAATGTAATATGTAACCTTACTTAGTTACATGTTGTTGTGAAGTATCATTTGCTAATAATATTTAAAACAAAATGGTAATGCCATCGTCGGGGGAAGACGTGCAAAAAAAGAACATTGGTGGTTCGTTTCCAAAAAAGTTGTCTCGGAGTACTCTTAGGAATATAATGCAGAGATTCTGGGATTCATAAGCATGGCAGCATTTTTAGTGTTACTCAGCTTGGTTGTACATCTGAGAAAATGTTCAGGATGTATCCCTGGCAAATGCCAGTTGCTTTGCAGCTATGGTAGCTCTGACAAATGATAAAGTAAATTTAAAGGACCCAGAGCAGGTCCCATGACCTTTCCAGTAGAAAGGGATCGCTAAAATGTTAGAAATTCTTGTATTGGATATTGATTTGTACAGCTTACTTTTCTGGAAGACATGGACCTCTGGCTTTATCTATATAGTCGTCTTATCTATACATAACAAAATACCTATCTAGATATAAACTGACCTTGGTGATCAATAGCAGAAATTAAAAAATGTGGAAGGGAAAAAGATCCTTTTTGCTTTGCTTTGTTCTTCTCAATTCAGACGCTTCTCAACTTTACTTTCTTTGAAATCCCATTTAGAAATTGATAGCATCAGTCTTTCTGCTTCCATTTAGCCTGGAGATATAATGGCCTTGTTAGACTTTAAACTATTTGAGAGTTGCTGTGTAATTTAAAGTGCAATGTATTTCTCTTTTCCTCCCCCCCCCCCCCCCCCCCCCCCCGGATCCTGCCCGCCCCCCCCCTTTTTTTTCAAATCTAACTCTAGGTACAAATTACGACTATGTCAGAGAGTTTAAAAGGAGCACGGGAACTTGGCACCGCACAAAACCATTATTTCCATCAGACCTTCGCCGCACTGGCTGCGCAGCCTTGCGGATTGCAAACTGCAAGCTCTTCCCACTGCAGCTTCAGCAGGGGGTGTTCCCCATCCGCGTTCCTTCTCCGTGACCAGCCTTGCACAAGGGGAGGAGACTGGAAGAGCCTGCCACGGTCCACCATAACATAGCTTTACATAAGGAAAAAAACAAAGATATTGCAACTGAAACTTATACTGTAATCTGTGCTTTGGTATGGTAACTGTTTTTGTTTTTTAAACGCTTCAAAGCTTGAGTCTTGGTTCTTGTTTTTGGGGGGAAATAACTATATAGTAAAACAAAATGAACAAAAAAAACAAAAAACCCAAAAACCTGTGACCAAGAAAACCCCTTCCGTTCTAACTGTTCAGGGAATAACCTCTGCTAGGGAAGGAGTTTCTTTGTGTCAGAAAGAGGTGGGGCTGGGTATTACTATGGCAAAATCTATTGAAAAGTAAAAAATAAAAAAAAATAAAAAAAATAAAAAATGAAGGTGCATATTCCCTGCTGGGAATAAGAATAAATATGCTATCTTGACCATGATAGCTGTACTGTACAAATGCTGTACGAAAACCAACCTCTCTGGTGTCTTGGGAAAAGACTATTACATGGCTGAAGCTGCGAGAGGGAGGTGTTGGTTGTTGCACCCTTTATCCTAGCCCTTCTTCACAGGTTAAGGTCTGTGCCTAATACGGTGGTGGTGTATATATGGTTTGTTTCATTCATTTGCAGTGTTTTTTTTGTTCCTAAGAATCTTTTTTTTTTTTTTTTTTTAATATATTTAAAATGGACTAATCTAAAAGAAATGTATAGTATGTTATAGATGAATAACCCAATAGTTTTTGTTTCGTTTTGTGTTTGTTTTTTACCCTGTGTCATTCAAATGGTCTAAAGATTCAGTGTATGGGTGGACCAGCATGCATGCTGCATGGATTTTTTGAAGGCTGAGATCTCCAGCCCTCAAGTAAAGGGGAGGATCACAGCCAAGAAAATCTTGCATCATTGTTGTTGTTGGTAAAGAAGGACCATGCATGAGTTTCTTATCAAAGAGAAACTAGCAGTGTCTCTTCATTCAAAATGACTCAAATCCCTGCAGCTTTGCAATGTCAAGGGCTTTTGGGGGTATGATGGTATAAAAGGGGAGAAGCAAAGGCGGGGCATTAAGAGATGCAAGCTATGGAAAACATGATTTTTCAAATTACCATTTTAAAGGAAATGGCCCAGGCAGTTTATGCTGGGATCAGATGCCGGTTTAATTATAACCTTTGTGTTAAAGAACAGTGCTGTCTACTACCATTTGTCTTTGAAAGCTTGGCTTTGGAAGGCAGTTGTAGTGATGAATTCAGTGCTTGAAGGTTGTTCAGTTCTGTTCACAGCAGTAGTAATACTGAGTGGACTGTTGTTGGTAGAAACTGTCTGCTGGCTAGGACACACTTTACCTCACTTCTTAATTTCATTTTGTTATTTATGACTGGTGAGCTGCAGCCCTACTTCAAAGTAAAATAGGGCCGGAAATGCAGTTGAAACTTCCCACCCCTTAGAGACTTGCAGTGTTACCAATGTTATTACTGGACCTTGTACTTTCCACTCTGCACCTTTGAAGGACCTCATCTGAAAAATCAGTGGGCCGTTCTGCCCTCGGTTACATTTAGCGTACATCCAGATTAACTTCACTGATTCATCCTAGATGAAAATGTTGACAAAATAGCTGTTGTTCAGCTTTCTAAACTTTCTTTCAAAAGACATTCCAAAATTTACTAATACTTTTCATCATTCTCTGATTTTAATTTTTTTTTTACTGGAGTTACTATGGTGTTGAAGGAGGGCAGAATGTAGTCCTTTCTTGCAATGCTGAAGTGCTGCAGACTGGACTGCACGCATCAGGGGGGTTTTTTTCTAGCCTATTTGGGTTTTTTTGTCCGTGTATTTTATTTTATTTTTTTGAATTGGTTGTACTTTTTGTGCAGTGAGTAGAAACTTTAGACCTAATATTGGTCTGTAGATTTGACGTGCTATATAATGCTTTACTACAAAATGTATGCACCACTGTTTCCATCTCCAGATCTTTTGTGTAACTTACCTTGAGTGCTCAGTCATTTATCTTGCAAAGTTTCCCACTTCAAGGTGAGGATGTGAGGTGTTCAAAAGCACCTAAGTCACTTTTGAAATCTGAACAGGTTTCCAAGTCGCTTGGATTCTTCTGAACACACGCTCAGCGTGTTGGAAGGTTCTGAGCATCTCGCAGCACCCTTCAACTCCCTAGTTAGCATTAGGAGGAGATTCGGCATCTAGGCAAGCAGACACATGAAATCTGTGTTCAGAGCTGTGGGTGCTCTGGCACTGTTTTACAGTAATGACTAGCGAGCTAAACATTTACATTTTTAACTAGATAAGGCAGAACTAACCAAATGTGACTCGCATTTAAAAAAAAAAAAAAAAAAGAGAAATGAATATCTGGAGTTCATTGGTTTGTGTTGCTCATGTGGTTTGTTAAATTTGACAGCAAAGTTTTTAAGCATCTTGTCCTAAGGCTTGCATGCATATTGAACCTTAAGCATATGAATCGTTATATAGTGTAACTGAGCAGTGGGGCCGGTGGGCTGCTGTTGTTTGGTACAGCTAACTCTCAAACCAAGGTTTCGGAGGTGCTTGAAGACCCCTATTTAGTTGCTACAAGGCCCCAAAGCTGCTTCTGGGGATAACGCACCAAACTGCTTAAATCCCAATGCTGCTCAGACCTTTGTCATGTGCCAGACCCCTGACAGGACCTTGCACTGGTTCCCCCAAGCTTGTCAGCAGAGCCTGTGTCATAGGTGTTGTCAAAGCATGTCTAATCTGCACGCAAGATAGGGGTGATGCTGTTTCTTGAGCAGCTAGTATAGCTGCCCTATCATACCCAGTAGCCCAGCCCAGTGGTTAGCTTTGGGAATGTCAGGACCCAGGTTCAAACCTTTTTCTTCCTCTTGACTTGAAGCCAGATCTCTCTCTTTCTCAACCAAGAGCCTCAGTCGCTGGACCACTAGCTGCAGGGTGGTGGGCGTCAGTCTTTCTGGGTTTTTGCGGGGCGGCACTGACCTGATTGCAGGTGCCTAACTCCAGGAGAGGGTTGGCAGCTGAGCAGAGACTGGTGCCTCTCCCTGTCTAGAATTAGACTGTTCCCCAACTCCGTGGGACAGCTGGCCCCAAGTCACAACCCCTTTCTTTTCTTCTTCCCTATGATTGAATTTTAAACAGCATCCTGTGCAGTTTCTGCTCTGCAGTTTGCAGTCTCAGGTGCCTAAGTATTTCCGTGTGCCGTACAAGGAGCTGAGGCGGCAACTCGGGGCTCTGAGTAACATGTGGCAGCCGGGGCAGCTCACTTTCTTCAAGACTTGAGCTGGAAATTTGTTGAATTAGCAGGAACCTGTGTGCGCACACAACCAACTTTAGGTATATGCATGCATATCTCTTAGTGCACGCATTGAGGTCGCTTTCTATTTATTTTTCCCAAAAAACCTTTTAACTCTTTTGCAATGTGGCAAAATCCTCACTGGGAATTGTCTGGTTCAAGCCCCAAGCTTGTCTGTAGCCATATATTACAGAAATGGAAGCAATCTTATAAGAACAACATTAAAAATGCAGCAAAAAATGCAAAAACACAAACCCCCCCAAAATAAACATGCACCCAAAAGACCTTGACGATGGGAATAGTGGTGGTAGTTATGCTTGTTTTTAACACTAAACTTATGGTTAACGTAAAATATATATTGTTCCTTTCCCCCTTGTCCAAACATTGCCGAAGATTTTATTCACTTCCAGATGAAAGGTGAATGTTTTGGAAAGGGTCGCTGTTCTATTCCAACAATTTTTGAGTCTGAAGCATCATGGGCATGATTATGTTGCGCTGTTTTGAAGAATGTAATGTTGTGGTGGCTTTTGGGTGGGAGGGAAAGATGGTTCCTACCCCGTCGTTCAGAGACGGCTGCTGTGGCGTCTGTTCGGTTTCTGATCAGGTGTCGCTCTCGTAGTCCTGCCAAAGGTCTGAAGAAAGGTGCACCTGGGGGCCCCTTTTCCCTCCAGCCAGACAGCATTTCATCAGTGTAGCAGGAACCCTGTGCTGCTAAACATGCAGCGTTAGCCTGGATTTCATGCCCTCTGCCCGTTTATACACCTATCCCACTCTACCCAAAGGGCATTTCCAAAGAGTCCCCTACTTAATTGTAGCAAAGCAGGACATTTCTCTTCAAATATTTTCCCAGCTACAGCCCTTTGTGCGTTTATCCCAAAGCCACAGATTGACTTGGCTGCCCCAGTCAAGTAACTTGCGATAATAGCGGTGAAGAAACTTTCTTTAAACCTAATAAAAACAAGATTAGACTACATCACAGAGCAGCAATGAGTCCAAGAGCTAAGACCGACTTGTACAAGTGATTTATTGTTCTTTGAGGACAAACTCGGTCCCATTTTCCCTTTGAATGCAATTGTTCAAAGGCATTTTGGGGCAGTCTCATTGCTGAATCATATAGGAGTTATTCTTGCAAATACAAAAGGGAATGTTTTCATCAAAACTACTGGAGCCCCCGATTCTATTTGTAAGTGTTCAGTTCCCCCTCCAGAAAATGTCAGGCAGCTTGATTTCCTTCAGTGATGTTATTAGCAGCATTCTCAGAACAGCAAGGAGGATGTCCTTTTTTGCAAGTTGTTGTGCCTGCACGTTTGGGTAAATGTACAGAAGGAAGGGGTTTTAGATGCTGATTGCAGTTTCTCTACTCATTAGTTGCATCAGTAGCCAAACTGTACAGTCTGAATGTTTTTGGCAATACATACTCGCCACACAGTGCAGGATGCAATAACAGAGGAAGGCCGTTTACAAGTGCCAAACTTTTGGTTCTCTCTGTATATATGGATATTTCAATTCTTCTGTTCTAGTACATGGACCTTTAAACTTCACTGTGCTCCAAAACATTGGGATTATTTTGTAAATGAATGCTACTTAAACACTGTAAATGTTTTTATTTGTTTTTAATACTGTTCTGCGGGTTTTGCATTACCCTCCACGGCTGCCTTGAAACATCACTCCACGTGATGCACATGGACACTGCTCTGTACGAGAGCACTGGTGCCAGGCATGTAAATAGAAAATGGCAGCTGACAAGAATATGTTTTAATGTTTTAAATTATTAATATTTTCGATAAAGTGCAATGCATTTGAACTTATCTCGCCTGCAGAAGGAATTTTGTGTCTCGGGTCAAGTTGCAGCAAATGCAATTGTTGCT